CAAAGCTGGAAAACGTTCGCGGCGAAATTGTGACGCGATTTGGGCGACAGAAAGGTATCGGGTGGCATCAGAATATTTGTAATTGGGAGGTCGACAGGTAAAACACCACTAACGCAGAAGCAATTACGCGACGCGTAGTCCATAATATATGACACTCCAATATCTACGAGTCTCAACAACCAACACACGGATCACATGATTTCAACCTGCCGTTGGTGTTGCCCTGGAGCAGCCCCCACCCGATGCCCACCGGCATCGACGATCGAGGGAACAGGAGCTGGACACGATCTCCTGATCCGCCCCCGCGGGCGCCGCCGGAAGACCATCCTCCCACCCGGCCGGCGGGTGGCGGGCCGCCGTCCACCGACGCCCGGACCCGGCGCCGAGTGCGCTGTTTTGCGCCGCATTCGTGCTGTGCAGCGCATCCCTGCAGCGCACGCGGACACGCCAGACGACGTGTAACGGACACGGATGTAAACAGGCGGGATAAACAGGCGCCGGTGGCTCGGGCGCTCCCCCCCCCCCCCCTCCCCGCCATCGCCAGCGCTGACACCGTCCGTCACAGCCCGGCTGATGCGTGACCCCCAGCAGCTCAGGGGTCAGCCTCCGGGATGGCCACACTATTGCGGCCCGAGTGAATCAGCAGGCGGTGACGCTTCTCGTGTTTGTTTTGTTTTTCTTCTTGTTACGCCCAGCACTACTGGCACGGAGCGGAGTCAATGTGTCTACCAGTGAGTTAAGTTTAGCTTTGTAACTCTTCGGAGTTGCAATGCCCACTCAATGATTATCTCGGCGTTTCCAACGTGGAACAATGTTGAGCGACCCCCCCCCCCCCCCCATTGCGAAATCTCACGTATTCCACTGTGTGTGGTGGTGGTAGTTGGCTCGTCGAATTGTCTATCAAGGCCTGCGGATTTTCAGAATACAGGCAATAGGTCCAACCACCAACAGTTTTAAATGTAGGACATTTAGGCTGCCGGTCTTGTCCATCTTGTCCATCTTATTACAGCCTCCTAGCCTCGTTCGGTCCGATCCATCAAAGGAGATATATCTGAAAGCATAATTCGCGTTACTTCACCACGCTTCAGTTTGGTTAAACATAGAGCACCAAATCTGGCATATATATGCGACGGATGCCGCCATCGGGGTTGAAATCCCGGAAACTCCAGACAGGAACGAATCTCTACACCACTATTCCAGTAGCTGTTAGAAGCTGCAGGAATCGGATGTATTTGCGTTTTAAAAAATCGAATCTTGCTTATAATAATTTTAGGACCTACCTGCATGCATCAAAGGCACCGTGGAGGCACTCTGGCCGGCAAACCTGCAGAGGGGCAGACCGGCAGCCTTTGACCGCAATGCCTGTTTGAACGGCTGGGATTGGAGGCCGTCCAGACACCTTGTAGCTAGAGCTTCACCCCCCCCCCCCCCCTCCCCCCTCCCCCGCGGAGCTAGTGGCTGCATTTTGAGCCGATTATTAAATACAGTGTGCTGTCTGAAAAGATTGATGACATACCTGCCAGAGGTAGCGAAACCATTGGGGTGGCTTATGGAGAGTTGCGAGCATCCTCTACTTCCTCGGCTCAAGCCGCCCTCCACTTGCTTTTCGAGGTTACGTTTCGTGGAGAAAGATGGAACTTACAGCTTCAAAATAGTGTTCCTGGCCTTGTGCCGAAGACTGAAGTTGTCTACCATAACGCTCTAAGCGCTGCAAAGCCAATACAAATAATGCAGATTTGACTTGCTGTGCGCGCAAGGTGTAAAAACAATGGTGTTTGTCGGATATGGCTCTAGATATCGCCCGAGATAATCCGCTGTGCAGGGATTGCACCATTGATAATTCCGGAAGCTCGGAATAGGCAAAGGTACCGGGATTAGCACTCCTACTGAGCTTACCTTTACAAATCCCGACATCGGCACTGGTCCTCAATTCAATTTAATTTCATTGGAATCAGTTCCAGCCCATTTGTGCGATGAAATGGTTTCTGAGGCTATGGAGCTGGGACGCTGCTGTCGGGCTCCCCGAGTGTCTTCGACCATCCCTCCACGTGTTTTTTGGCGACTCTATCTCAACCGTCACGTCGGGCGTACGGGATCAACGGGCTAACCATTTACCATTGGGGAGGACAAACGAGGTTGATTGGGATGATTGGGAGATTGGGATGATTGGGAGATGTGGGACAAATGGGAGATTGCTGCTGATTTCCATAAAAGCGACTAATATGTCTTTCGGCGGTTTCAAATGCATTATACCAAGAATGCACACTGAACAAAACTACCAATTCTTGCTGTGCACGAATGATTCATGAGACGTCTGGGTCCCCATACTGTACCATATTGTATATTCCGATCTGGACATTGTTGAGGGTTCAATGACTTCAGCATTGCCGTACCTCCTTTTTTGAACTGGAAACCTGCATGCGAAAAATGTCATGCATAATCATTTTTTCACTTGGCATAGCTGCTCGAATCCCAACTCTCCTTTCAAATTTTGTTCAAGATTATTCTTGATACACCTGCGGCAATTTTATAAATTTACGCCACGGGACTTATTCCACATAGACACTATCTGGCTGAACGTTAACGGCCGACAAAGAAATACCGGTGCATTTAGCCCCAATTAACTTCGCGATAGTTTGGACACTGTGGGTTTTTGCGGTGGTAACTGGCTTGTATTTTGCAATCATCATTCGCAACACGCTCTAGAATAACACGATAATAAATTAACGTCTTAACTCACTTCTGCAGAGTTCCAGCTTCACCTGAAATCCACAAAGTGCATTACTCACCTCGCACGAGTGATTTATGCTTCCATATTTAACTCAACGACCGCCCGGGCCATTTGTTAGGCGGAAATTAATCCGGCCCCAGTTAGGGATGTTTCATCGTCTCATTAGTCGCCGCGGCGAATGCACCGGCCGGGGCTGCTAGTCGCACGTTTGGGGGGTTACTTCTGAGCCCGTCCAGTCGTGCTGCGCACCGAGCTGTCCTTCACGGGCGGGGGAGGGGCATGGCTCAGGTCGCACGTTTGAGGGTTACTTCTGAGCCCGTATAGTCATGCTGCGCACCGAGCTGTCCTTCACGGGCGGGGAGTGGCGTGGCCCAGGTCTTACGTTTGGGGTTACGTCTGAGCCCGTCCAGTCGGTGCCACGCACCGAGCTGTCCTTCACGGGCGGGGAGTGGCGTGGCCCAGATCTTACGTTTGGGGGTTACGTCTGAGCCCGTCCAGTCGTGGCTGCGCACCGAGCTGTCCTTCACGGGCGGGGAGTGGCGTGGCCCAGGTCTTACGTTTGGGGGTTACGGTCTGAGCCCGTCCAGTCGTGCTGCGCACCGAGCTGTCCTTCACGGGCGGGGGAGGGGCATGGCTCAGGTCACACGTTTGGGGGGTTACGTCTGAGCCCGTACAATCGTGCTGCGCACCGAGCTGTCCTTCACGGGCGGGGGAGTGGCGTGGCCCAGGTCTTACGTTTGGGGGTTACGTCTGAGCCCGTCCAGTCGTGCTGCGCACCGAGCTGTCCTTCACGGGCGGGGAGTGGCGTGGCCCAGGTCTTACGTTTGGGGGTTACGTCTGAGCCCGTCCAGTCGTGCTGCGCACCGAGCTGTCCTTCACGGGCGGAGGAGGGGCATGACTCAGGTCACACGTTTGGGAGTTGCGTCTGAGCCCGTCCAGTCGTGCTGCGCACCGAGCTGTCCTTCACGGACGGGAAGTGCCCTGGCTCAGATCATACGTTCCGATGAGTTATAACGGTGCTGCGAGCATTTCTGAGCTTTGAATGCCGCGCAGTGCTGCCCTGTCATCTTGGGACATTCATGCGGTCGTGCACGGCATGGATGGCACAGCTCATCTGGGACTGCTGCTGGCGCCCGGCCTCTCGAATATGTTTAGCCCGGTGCTCTTGATTCGGGTGTCAGAACCACCGTGTTCTGTTCAGTACGGCCCCAAGGCGGCAAATACAGATAAGAAAACAAGCATGGCCTTGAACCACAGGTCGAAAGCGAGGCATCATTTCTTCGCTGCACACAACTAAAGGAAAGAAAGCTCGTCACTCGGTTGGATACCTGCCGTCAGCTCCCGGGCGAAACCCCGGTCCGAGACAGCGCCTCGTGAACGCGCCGCAACCTCACGGCGGCAGTGATGCCCGGCGCCATATCCTGCCTGTACCGCGGCTGCCGGCGCCAGATCCTGCCTGAATCGCGGGCTAACCCCTCACGGCGGCAGTGCTGCCCGGCGCCAGATCCTGCCTGAATCGCGGGCTAACCCTCACGGCAGCAGTGCTGCCCGGCGCCAGATCCTGCCTGAACCGCGGGCTAACCCCTTACGGCGGCAGTGCTGCTGGCGCTCACGGCGGGGGGCAGTGCTGCCCTGCGCCACATCCTGATATCCTGCCTGAGCCGCGGGAAAACCCTCAACACCAGCCGGTTCAAGCCTCTGGCTGTCGTTGACGCTCGGCAGAGGTGACCGTAGAGGCTGCTGCTGTCGCCTTCGCGCCCTGCTCCGGCCGGGGAGGGCCTCTCCTCGTGACGCCGTTGGAGGCGGAGCAGCTGATCGGCTGTGACCTCACTCCCCGGCCGGTCGGGCCTGGTGACCAGCACACGCCCCACTCCAGAGCCATGATTTAGTGGCGTGCATCAACTGCATCAACGACGACATTGGCTGTCCCTAGCACGACCTTCCCATCAAACCGTGCCTCCGCCTCCCCTACCTCAACGTCCCTCAGCCCTCCCCCTTGATCGCCACACGGGCCTATCCACATCATCCCCAGCAGTGCCGTGCGCCGGCCCTGGGTCCGCCGTCGCTGCGGTCCCCGTCTCGTGGAGCGCCGGCCCTCGGCCCGCCGTCGCCGCCGTCCCCGTCTCGCCGACAGCGACCATCACCGGCGACGCGTCGTCCCCGACGCGACGTGTCTAATGAAACACGCTGATGGACGAGGCGGCGGGCTATTTGGGAGCGGTGGCGCCGTCGCGTGGCGCGCCACCTTTCATGTCTCAATTGGAGCCAGATGGCGGCCGGCGCGCGCGCCTACCTGTCGCCGCTAACGAAGCCGTCGATGCCGACGGCGGCGTCGGCGTCGGCGCTCCGTCATACGCCGTCCCCCGCTGACAAGTTAGGGAAACGCGTCACGCCAAATTAAAGCCGCGTGGAGGCCGCCGGCGGCCCGGCTGCGTCTGTCACGTGTTCAGGTCGGACGTCACGTTGTGAGATTCACAGAACATAGCGAGGCGCGCCATAGCGTGTCACTGGGTCGCTCGGGCCAGTTCGAGGTCAGCTCAACGTGAGTGGGCTGACATTGACCTCGGTAGCTTGAGCGGCGTCGATGCCTTCCTGTTGTGCTAGCGTCACCAATCGCTGTGTTGTGACGCCCGCCATCACCTCCACGGTCTCACATGACGTCACAACAACTGCCGTCTCCGCATTGTGACGTCACCCACGATAGCCCCCGCTCGGCGACACACCGTATCAGCGCCACAATGAAGTGACGTCAGTGTGCTGACGTTCCGTCTCCGGCGCAGACCAAACTCGCCCCACGCCGCTCGGCGAACACACGCGGCACAATGCTGACGGCACGGCGCCGGCGCGGCGGCCGCGTCCGAGCCCGACCCCTCTCTGATCCCCGTCTCTGTCTCCTACAGTGGACAGACGGCGGCGCGGAGTCGAGCCCGACCCCTCTCTGATCCCCGTCTCCGTCTCCCACAGCGGACAGACGCCGGCCCGGAGGCCGCGTCCGAGACCGACCCTTCTCTGATCCCCGTCTCTGGCTCCCACAGCGGACAGACGCCGGCGCGGCAGCCGTGTCCGAGCCCGACCCCTCTCTGATCCCCGTCTCCGTCTCCCACAGCGGACAGACGCCGGCCCGGAGGCCGCGTCCGAGCCCGACCCCTCTCTGATCCCCGTCTCTGGCTCCCACAGCGGACAGATGCCGGCCCGGAGGCCGCGTCCGAGCCCGACCCCTCTCTGATCCCCGTCTCTGCCTCCCACAGCGTACAGACGCCGGCCCGAAGGCCGCCACGGCACCACCCTGTGGCCCGCCATGTACCACAACGGCGTGCACGGCACGGGCGGGTACGGCCTGGAGGGAGGCGGCTGCGGCAGCGGCGCCGGCGGCGGCGGCGGAGGCGGTGGTGGCGGCGGCGGCTACCTGCCGGGCGCCGTGTGCGTCCCGCCCGCACACCAGCTGTTCGGCCTGCAGCACATGGCCGCACAGACGCCGCACATGGGCCCGGTGGCCGCCGGCGGCGGCACCTCCGCCTGCGGCAGGTCAGTCAATGCGAGCGGGGCGCAGCGTGGAGGCTCACACCGCCGGTGCGGTGAGGACCTCCACGCCACGTCCAAGCCCGGGGATGAGGACATGTGATGGTGGTACGAGAGCACAGAGATCAGAGTGCGACACGGTGTTCCGAGGGTTCGGAAATTTGGGTATTTTGTAATCCGGATAGCATAGAGCTGTTTAGTATGATCGTCGCGTTTTTAGCGTCTTACGATAATAAAAAAGATACCGGACAAAATGCATCATCTGGACTGACACCGTGCCTGCAGTTGAAAACACACCGGTCTGCGTACCTACCCACGTACGTACCTGTAGGAATGCCATTATTTATGCTGCTCGACTTTGTACTGATCGTCTGTGATGTTCCAGTGTGCATACTGTACGACCGCCGGCTATCGTGGCCGGCGCCCACAACAGCTAACAAGACGTTCTAGGGTTTCCCTTTTGGACACAATCTCCCTTGAGGAAGGACTCTTCAAAGACTCCCTTCATGCACACGTGCTTGGTTCCATACAAACGCAGGGTCTTTCCAGCGGTCTGTGTCAGCTGCTTCGACGACCGCTGACCCTGAGCCGCTCTGCACCCGGCGCGGGGCGTCCGGCCTGGCCTGCAGCGCTGACCCAGCCCCGCCCCTCGCCCCGGCAGCTGGCAGGGCGGCGGGGTGCCGGCGGGCTCCGACGGCGGCCAGCTCTCCATGAACTTCGGCGGCTTTAAGCTGCCGCCGTCTCGCGAGATGCCGCACCCGGGCATAGCGCAGGCCTTCCCGCGCTACGGCTACACGGGCGGCAACATGATGCCCTGGGCCTGCAACAACATGACCGGCCTGCAGTCGCTGCAGCGCGGAACATACGGTACTTCGTCTGCTTCTGCTCTGTCCGCTCTTGCTCGCCGTTGGGCTCTTCTAAGCACATGTGTGACGTCATGGTCAAGTGCGTGCGTGTGTGCGTGCGTGCGTGCGTGCGTTCGTGCTTCGTTCGTTCGTGCGTTCGTGCGTTCGTGCGTTCGTGCGTGCGTGCGTGCGTGCGTGCGTGCGTGCGTGCGTGCGTGCGTGCGTGCGTGAGTGCGTGCGTGCGTGCGTGCGTATGTATGTGTGTGCGTGGGTAGGTGAGTGCGTGCGTCGTGCGTACATGCGTGCGTGCGTGTGTATGTGTGCGCGTGGGTGGGTGGGTGGGTGGGTGGGTGGGTGGCGTGCGTGCGTGCGTGCGTGAGTGCGTGCATGCGTGCATGCGTGCGTGCGTGCGTGCGTGCATGCGTGCGTGCGTGTGTATGTGTACCACACGGCGCAATTGGCTGAGTTTAGTCGAGTGAGTGGAATCGCTTGTTAAGGGGACGCGCACATGCCGTTTCAGAGTTTCGTGAGTGCGTTCAGTGTGGCACGGTCACCCAGTCCTGCTACCCGGACGGCACGGGGCACTTCCTCTGCGGCGCCTGCTTCTGCAACCCCAAGTGGAAGGGCATGGGCCATCCTCGTCTCTTCAACGCCAGGAGAGGGGTCAGTGCTATGAACCGGACAGAGACCGCCAAATACCGCCCTCCGAACGAAACAAATGCTTTAAAGCAGAGCATGAAATAAATGCGTATTGTCAGTGGCGCATGAAATGGCAGCACGGTATACAGCGTCACATCCCACCTTAAGCTTTTTCGTTTTGTTTTCGCCTTTGCAAACAAAGGTGAATGTCAGACACCCAGGCTTTTGTTCAGGCTTAACATAAAATCAGTCCGAAACGCTGATTGCTAATAATCCCGTATTTGTGCCGTTCTTTTAGTCGCCGTACGCTCGTCGATTTCACTCGATGTGCACGAACTGTGGCACCACGCAGACGACTCTCTGGAGGCGGAACAACGAAGGTGACGTATGGACGCGCGGGCGGCGGCACCCGCCCTGCAGTGCGCTCCGGTCCTGTATTCTGCTCATTGATGAAGAGTTGTCTAGGCTTGTAGACAAATGGTGTTACTGTTGACCCTTATCGCTCGTTACGTTTGGTTGAGGTGGTCACTTGCTACGCCAAACAGAGGTGTAATTACGACGCACGCCATAAATGGTCCTCTCCATATCGCGCTTAGATGATGCGGTTTCCCTTTGCGTAGCGACCATCTTTCCGAGCGTATCGGCATGGGCGGAGGCGCTGTGGTGGGCAAAACCTGACCCACGAGCTCAAGACCTTCGTGACCACGATACCGAGGTAGCTACATGTGTACATAACCGTGACTGCCATCCGGTCGTCAGGGATCTTATCAAGCTAAGTTACAGGTGAGCCGGTTTGCAACGCCTGTGGTCTGTACTTCAAGCTTCATGGCATCCGCCGACCCCTGTCCATGAGGAAAGACGGAATTCAAACTCGGAAACGGAAGCCGAAAAGCAAGAGACGAACAGAAGATAAGGACAAAAAAGAGTGTAAGTTTTTCGAGATCCTTTGTTAGTCCGTGCTTAGTTAATCAGCCATCGTACCGATTCAATCTTTGCCTGGTATGCGACATCTTTGTTTTGGATGGCAATAGATCTAACTAACTTTAACCAGGGAGCATTTATCGCACTGACACAACGTACCTGACATTATGCATGCACATGTTTGCTAAGATCAACGTAGGCAGCTACCGATCTTGTTATTCACAAAAATGCATTTCAAACAAATTAATCATTGCAGCCTGTAGCAGGTACGCATGTATCCCGATCAAGCTGCTTGCATTCTCGCCTCTCAAGCATTCTCCAACTGGACGGCGGCTCAGCGGAGACGCGTGTTTCAGGCGCAAGCATCGAGAAGGGCAAGGAGTGCCAGCTGACGACGCCAGCGCGGGAGACCCCGACGACAGCGGCCGCCACGTCCACCTCCTGCCGGCCGGCCGCCGCCGAGCCGACGCTCAGCTGCTCCTACCGGTCGGTCGCCGGCAGCGCCACCTCGGAGTTCGGCGCAGCGACCGGGGCGCCATCTGTGCACCGGTCGCCCGTGTCCGGCTCGAGCCTGGCCCTGCCCGGCGGGGGTCGCGCCGACCGCCGCCTTCACCGGCCTCGCGCCCGGCCTGGGGTACGGGCCAGCGCTCAGTAAAGCCATGTGCTCGGACAGCGCGCACAGCCCTCCGTGATGCTGGGCATGAGCGTAGGGCCACGCGCGCCGACGTACCACTGCCGATGAACCCTAACGAACTGATATTGCAATTCATGCAATCATGAGTATATAGTGTGCACATATTTTGTGATTTGAGAGTTGAATATTGCATGGTATTTGTGATAAAAGAAGGGTATGAGCTGCGTTGACTTGTGCGAATCTCTATGGACACGTTTTCAAAATAGTGATATTGGATCGCAAGTGTTCTTATTCTCGGCAATACACGCTTTAGCCAGGATATTCTGAGATGGCTATGAGGTGATTGACGGATGTCATTTCGTTTAATACGTCTTTTTCTAATAAATGTGTCCCAATGTCTGTGGAAAAGCGTGAAGCATTGGCGTATATTGAAAGTTTGTTTGAGCTTTCTTCTCCATGCTGGCATGAAGTATGGTCATGGGCCCAAGCTAAGAGACGACACCCTAGCTTCAGTTGTTTCAAGTCACGCCCGGCTATTGTAAGATAACCGGGCATGTGGGGGCTCAGTCAGTGGGGGCTAAGACATATATGGAATGCTTCTAGGCACATCAAAGGCCCAATATTCGACTTCGACCTGCCTCATTCGTGGTCTGGAGGACCAGAGGCACCCGCCTCAGTTTCTAAACCATCCAGTCCACCTTCAGGCATGCACGAATCACTGAGCAAGAACTGTCATGTTCCGACGCCTCATTATCTCCATAGAATCGTGCGTCTCTCCACAAACACAGCCTCCACAGTCCAAACTACCAAGACATGTCAACACGCATGCAAAAAAGGCATCCAATGGATTTGGTCCACTTTCTTCTCAAGGTTCGGGGGCTGGGGCCCAAGGTCAGAAGGCAATAGCAACTCACGAATTCAGCGACGACTCCCACCTTTCCAGTGGCCACCAGTTGGGAGAGGGGGGGGGGGGGAGGGAGGGGGCAAAGCTCTTCAACCGAACAGGAAACTACAGCCCTAGTATTGCTGCAACTTCCGTTATTGCGGCGCCGTGTTCTTTTATCCGCATTGCCCGTGCCTTCACGACCCACCGAAAAGGATTCACCCGCCGCGGTTTGCCGTTCGTCCACGTGCTCGATGACAAAAATGCACGTCATTGTTGCCAGCACTCAGCGACACGCCTGGCGAAGTGGCCAGGCGTGTCGAACCCGAACAGGTGCGGCGAGTGGGCTCAACCTCTCGCCTGAGGAAGCCGACGGCTGCAGACTACTTTTTGCTTTGTTGATCGAACGAAAGTGCAGGGTTAATCCTGATGGTGACTCATAGCGCTCATATTTGATGCCGGCTCTGACTCTGGGCTTGACTCGACCGAGTCTCTATGTCAGGGTCGGATCCATCCTCGAATAATGTTCCAGTGGAGACGACAACGTTACGTAATTGGTCCAGGTTTACGAATCGCGTGGACCAGCGCTGGCTTTATGGCGCATGTGCGCAATAAAGAAGGCTGAAAAGGTGAGTGCGGTAATCATCTCGAAAAGATCACCTTTCTATAAAAATGCGAGCTGTATTAAGTTCAAAAAGTGACCGGGCTGCTTCGGACTTGCCATACACCTTCTTTTTAAGATCTGGTTCGAGTTCTTGGATCGGTCTGGGTTTTAGAATGAGCGCCCACCCTAGCAATGCTTTGTATTCTTCAAACGTGCTCGAAAAATCCGCAACAATACAACAACCTCATGCGATTTTTCTGCTTGTGATCTTTGTGAGCCAGCTCATCCGACCGCTCTAGCCAAGGTCAGTGTCCGTGCCGACGTGGCTGCGGGCCGCTGCACCCGACGCGGTGCATCGGGGGGGGGGGGGGGGGTGTCGGCGGCGGGGCGGCAGGTGCGGCCGCTCCCTGGCCACGCCAGCCGCCATATAACCGGACAGCGCGGCCGGCCGGCCCAGTAGGGCGCCGCGTCAACGCTGCAGCGCCCAGCCAACGCGACGGAGTGGCCTGGCGCACCGGCACCGCCGACAGGCGACAGTCGACAGCGTCCAGCGGTGAGACCCGCCCTGGCGACTGGCGGACGCCGGTCGCGGCCCGCCTGTGCGCTGGCTTCTTTGGCTTCTACTCTGGCTACCTGGTTTGCTGTCCGTTGAGGCGGTTCGGTAGAACTCGGAAGGCAGTGGCCCCGCTAACTCAGACCGTGCTGCGCCAGCGACGAGTCCGTGGCTGGACTCCCAGGCTTCGCTGACAAGCATGGTTTCTCACGAGCTACCAACTTAACAGCCCGACACGTTCAACAGCCGGTCATAACCGTGGGCCATCAAAGGCATAACACTGTGACCTTGGCAGGACCTCCAACAGTTCACTCCACTGCATGGAACCAGGCATTCTTAATCAGACCAAGCGCAGTGACCTTTTTTGATCTATTAATATGACCGCAGCCCCTGACATAACATACCACTTAACATGACCGCGGCCTCGTACCCTGACCCAGCACCGGGTCCCCGATCCTGACGTGGCTGAATCCCGTGACCTTCCGATGTGGCGCTGCTTCAGCTGCGGACGCCATGGCGTCTCTTCTGGGACTTGGCGTGCTTCTGACGATTACCGCCACCATCGCAGGAACTCCAGGTCAGTGACGCCGCTGTGCCTGCCGGGAACGCTTCGGGAGCGGAAATGGAAATACCGGAACACGGAGGGTTGTCGCTGTGTCGCCTCAAACTTGTCTTTAAATAAGTGCGGCGGGGTATGGCAAGAGAGGGACCCGGAAGTAAAACTAAGCTACACATATTTCACATCCAACCCTCCATTGCCACGTATTCGTGGCAGACTGGTCGGCACATTTTCATGGCAATACAAGATGACTTATTGTCACGAACCCGTCGTGCACCAAACACTTGCGCTTCAGATTTATGCTAATGCAGTCAAACTAAATACGCAAAAATAATGGTGTCGTATTTCGGAAGGCAATCCTTCATTGATGACTACCTGGCTTGCTGTCCGTTGAGGCGGTTCGGTAGGACTCGGAGTCCAGTGGCCCCTCTAACGTCAATCGCGGCGCGCCAGCGACGAGTCCGTGCCTGGACTCCTGGACCTCGCTGCCGAGCATGGATTTTCATACTCATTATGGGCATCACCCAACCGAGTGTTGGGTGTCAGTGAGTCATCGTGCTGCCATTACGTTCTTCACACAGAGGATCAGGCACCCACCAGTTACTCGACGAAGCATTGCCATCCGAAACTTGACATTATTTTGGCATGTTTAGTATTTTTGCATTAATATGAATCTGAGGTTGAGGTATCTTGTATACGGTCAAGCCTGGGCCAGCTCAGGTAAGAATGAAAACATTAAAAAAAAGTCATCAGTTGGTCTATGAAAGTGTAAAGCAAGCCCTCATAATTCTCACGGAGAAGTGTTTACTTGTTCATGCGAGCACCTCGTAAAATAATATTGAGGTCATAATGGCATGACGCACCATTTTGAGCCGCATTACTTTCCTGAACAGTCGGTATTGCGCGTTCAGTGGGAGTTCAAATACAAAAGCCCGATATCTGGTGCATGCGACAACACAAGCAGTGTAATACATGGCACAGCAGAACATCCTTTGTTTGCGACGGGCAACTGGATTATCTGCCTGCATTCTCCAGCAGTGTTTAGTAAAAAGTTTAAAAATCAGATAACAATGGGTTGATCAGAGAAAGTGTGTGTGTGGGCGGGGGGGGGGGGGAGTCAGCTTTGAATATTTATCGGGAGTGTTCGATCCCATGTTTGCTGAGGCTCAGCATCATGTCTACAGCTACTATCGCGCATGAAATTACAGAATACACTGATCAAGTACTACCAAATGTGATGTGCCATGGACAACGTTAGGGTTCCTATCTCTCTCCACTGGGTCAGGTCATTAATTAACACTACAGCTTGTCATCCATCACAAAAATGCTTAAATTGTGGTACGTTCAGTTGGCTGAACTGTTTTTTATTTATCCTCATCCAATGGACATTTTTCACCTTCTCCCACGCCGGGCTCTCAGGGGACAGTACGAAATCTCCGAAAATAAACAAGCTAGAGCCAGGAAAAACGGTATAAGAGACACTCTGTCAAACTGTAACGGATCGGCATGGCTGGACAACGGTGACTGTGATATTTTAAAAGATAAATCAGATCATGTGAATCCCATCCGCGCTTTATAGACCCTGCCATCTCAAGACCCGCATGACAACAGCATTAGGTACCTCTTGAGAACTATTACCAGATGAGCGGTAGCGGACATCACCAGGTGTTGCCTGCGATCTGTCATGCTATGTTGGAGGGGTGAAGACAATGAGTTCCACTGGCCCGTCACCTACATCAAGAACTAAACAGGCGACATCACCGAGGAAGATAGCGTTGGAAACCTCATTCAAAGTTGTAAAATATGTGCCGTTAACATACAAATCGTGGTACCTTAAAAATACAAAATCTGTTCAAAAAGGTAACATTTTTTACCTAGTTTGACCTTGAATGGCATAACCTATACAAGCAGTGAGAACAATAGTAATGCAGTTCAGAATGATGGAGCAATTCATCTGAGAGCGACACAACTAAAAACCGATTGCAGAAATCCACTTAAAAGAGGGGTTTCTGCAAGAAATAAAGCATCTTTTGTCCCCATTGAGCAAAATATCATCAACATGACCTCTGAAATGAGTTATAAATCATGGCCGGCTGAGGTCAGGAACATAACAATTTTACAGAACTTGTAAAAAGACGCTTACTCAGCTTACCGAAATTTCAGCAACGTGCTAAAAACGGACTTTATTTCGAAAAAGCCTTGAGCGCGACACCTGAGGCCCCGTGCGGCGAAAGTTGGAATTACATGATATTAACAGTAACATGGTGTGGAGAGGTTTGAAAGAGGAAAAGTTACAGAACAGAACAAACTCTGCTTATGTTTATAATTGTATCAGGCAATGAATCGACTGTCCCATGCCCATGGATTGATCATGTGCATAGTCTGCGTTCTTAGGGTGACGCCATCACACCGCATCAAATTGCGTGCATTACGTGACAAAATTGTATTGGGGGCACAACTTAAAAACCGCTTTATCGTCTCCAGAATTATTCGATATCTTTGTTTACCACCTGTGCGCTCTTAGACTACAATACCTGTGTGGTAAATTTTAGCTTTGAAAGGGTGCGCGAGAAGACAGGCCGTGTGACGCACATCTTGGAAATACACTGCAGCACAGCCGTGCAGTATGGGCGCGTGACGCACATCTTGGAAAGTGAGAGCCGAAGCCGCAGTGAAAAAATGACAACAAATACTCGATTTCAGAGTCCAAACTTGCTCGTTATCCTGAAACCACATAACCGATACACGTTCAGACAGCAGCATCTAGGGGAAATGTTCAAACCTGGGCCACCAGCTCCCAATTGAACTAGAGAATAACGCAATCTACATTTCATGAAGCCGAGAAGCCATTTTCAAAGACTAAAATGCTTAAAACGCTCTAAAAACCAATCAGCTCACAGCGAAACGCCCAGTTTTGTGGTTTCAACGAACGTCCATTCAAATCACGCGCAGTTCACATGTACCGTCCTTACGGTTCGCATTCAATGACAATCAACCGCACACGAACAGAACCGAAGCCGTGAATCCCGGGGGGAGGGTAGAGCGCACGCGCCGTCGGTGGGGACCGAGCCAGCCGCCGACTGGCGCGCCACCCTGCGGCAGGCGGAGGGCGTGGGAGAGGCCCGCCTCTTCACCCTACCGTCGTCTGCCGGCTGCGACCGGGCCAGCTGACGCCGGCCGTCTATCTGGCAGAGACGGCCAGCTGGCGTCTCTCCGGCGACGACGCTGCAGCGGCAGAGGCTCACACTAGAGGCCTTCACGGGAGGATTACCTTCACCAGATACACGAGCTAGACGTGTGACTGTACCCCATATCGATCGCTGCCCATTCCTGATAAGTTGCACCCACTCGTCGCCTATCCGTTGGAACTTCTCCAGAACTTTGCTTCTCAACGATGTACAAGTTACAGGAAAATGTACACCAAAACCTACTTGTGGTATTTCGTCCGACATTCCCTTCAGACGACGTAGCAGTTTTACCCAAACCGTTCCTACAACGGTAATTTTCCACTGATTTTCACCTAACTCAACCCGTTACCCATTTCTTTTGGGTATCCATGTTTGCGCCAGCCCAGAAAGCCCAGTAGTTCACACAGAGGTTACGTGAACCATAGCGCCGGCTCGAAAGAATTCCTGCGCTACAACTGCTACCGGAAAAATAGGCCACTAGTTTTCTGCTGCCTTTGCATGCTCCTTCACCAACCCTTTGGAACTCAACCGCTATGACGGATCTGCAGAGAAAGGGGAGCTGGTGTTAGCATTGGTAGGCCCCACTCGCACGCAGTGACGGACCTGTAGCAAGATCGGGCGGTGTATCTCCAGCGCAAGAACCGGGCCGAACTATCCTGAACGTACGCATGGGCTGGGACTAGATAACCGGGCTGGTAACAATGCGTATCTTAAACGTGGAAGGCTGGGGGGGTCAGAGCTCAATTCCTAGCAAAAACAATTGATACTGGATGGAGCTTATCATGTACATATGCATATGTGCACGCATATATATATATATATATATATATATATATATATATATATATATATATATATACACATACTTAAGCACACATACACACACATATACATATACATATATGTATAAAGTCATTAATCTATCTATATATATATATATATATATACATATATATATATATATAACGTGTGCATAGCATTTCGAGTATAATACGCATACGTAAAGGCCTTTACCAGCAGGCAGTCGCCCGCGTTTTGTTCCGGGCCTGTATCGTAAATGGCTGAGATCTGGCGTCCGGTGCATGTCCACTCGTTGGGAATGGGCGCGGCGCATGCTACGGCTGAACCGGAACACGTTACGTATGAACCTGGAACATATTACGGCTGAACTGGAACATATTACGGTTAAACTGGAACATATTAAGGACCATATTACGGCTGAACTGGAACATATTACGGCTAAACCGTAACGGCTAAACTAATTAACTGGAGAGGGTGCAGGTAACATGTGTGTGCAATGCCTTTTGTTTGCACCCCTTGCATACATCAGAGCAGACCTACGCAAACGTCACCTCTCAGTTTTCGGCGGAAAGACATTGTTGAGCCCGTTTGGGTGGCCCTTCGCCATGATTGGTCACACCCTGAGGCTGTGTCCGGTCTCTGCCAGCACGAGATGCTACTCCGTACAAAGTGGTGTGCTACTTCGAGAGCTGGGCGGTGTACCGGACGGGCAAGGGCAAGTACGACGTGGAGGACATCGATCCCTACATCTGCACCCACTACGTCTACACGTTCGCCGGGCTCAAGAACGACCACACCATCGTCTCGCTGGATCCTTGGAACGACCTGTACGCTGACTACGGCAGAGGTTGGTGCTCAGCTGCGGCGGTGGCTTGCCTTTCAAACGACGCTAAGGTGCGTCGGCGGTTATCGCTCCTTTGCCATTTTGCACGGGGGTTCGTGGACCCATGCCGTGATTCCGCAAACAGACGTGAGCAGCCCTTTCGTCCCACGATTTTATATTCATACGGACTGTTTGACGTTGTATTGGGTATCGCATGCTTCACCTTGCACTCTTCGCGGAGTTATGCTTTGTATCACACAAGCTACTGAACAGTTATCGGGGTGGTGTAAAGATGCATTGTTGACAAACATTGTCATCATATTTTCAATTGGCCCTTCATCCACAGCACATTTTGTTTGGGATCTCGCTGCTGACTGGCGCTGAGTGATGTCTGCTTGGTGAGATGAGTTTGCTTTGCTGCCTACGTACCCGGGCGAATGCGCTGGACTGGTTATTCAGCGGCGCTGGGTTCGAGCCCCAGGGTGGAAACATTTGGTCTAACTGACGTGGAAGCGTTGGCTGACCAATTGCCAATGAGAGTAAAGCCAGGTTCGGGGCCACCCAGCACTGAGCGGCCAGAACAGTGCGGGGTAGTCATGCGTTAAACCGGACGCTGCAGCTCTGACGGCGAGTTCAGTATGCACGCAAAACAGCTTTTTCGCTTTAAAAACTAAAAAAAACAACAAAAAAGCACGTCTTCTGGCAGCAGCCCATCAGGTCCCCTGAAGAGGTTTTCCATGGAGGCGTTCTGACATGAATAAGATAAAAACCTCCACTGACGGGTTAGATTACCGTGCACACTCTGAAAGAAATCAAGCGAGTAAGAATTTTCAGCTGGCGTCCTGCCAAGTTGCGGGACAGACTCCTACACTCAGCATCATAACGTGTCGTGCTGCCCCGCCAGGCGCTTACCTTCGCTTCACCCGGATGAAGCAGAAGAACCCTGAGATCAAAACCATGCTATCAATCGGCGGCTGGAACGAGGGGTCCAAAAAGTACTCACAGGTGAGCCGACACCCCAGCAGCGCCGCCTCGTGAGGGCGCTCGACAAGTGTTCCACCCCCTTTCAGTTCTTCACAGGCGCACCTCGCACGCACTTGTCGAGAGAGCGAAATACATGGGTGATAAAAGTGCGTGCTGGAAACCAGCATTTCCAACGCTCAAAATACATGGGTGGTAATAACGAGAAGTGACAGCCAGCATCAGACGGACAACGCAGCGTCGGCGTTTGGAGCCAGCACACTTCGCTACTAAGTGTATTTCTAAACATTCTCCCTCCCGAGACGACTCGAGCCGTTGCGTCGAAGACCAAAGTGTACGCTTGAACGGCGCGGCTCGTCCGATCTTGAGCGGTACCCCTGCGAGGGCTGGTGGCATGCGCACCTCCCACCGCTCCTCTTCGTGTGGTCTTCAGATGGCCTCCACAGCAGCCAATCGCAAGAAGTTCATCAACAGTGTGGTGAAGTTCCTCCACAAGTTCAACTTCGACGGGCTCGACCTGGACTGGGAGTACCCGACGCTGCGGGGAGGCGCGCCGGATGACGTGGTTAGACACTCCATCACAGCCTCATGCCGATACTGTTCTCCTCCCGGGCTGAGGCACGAGTGCATCTGTTGAGCACTGCCACACAACGGGTCCGTAGAAACAGGCAATAAATAGTACAGTCAACGATGCCCATCAAGGCACACATGCTGAGCTCTCTATAACGCTTGCTGAACGCGTCTTCTAAGTTCGAAGTGAACTAACCGTCACGTAGCGCTCGGAGCGCAGATACGCATATGTCGCACGTCCATCGACGTCCATGACGCGTTCAGCTACGCGCCCTCCCTGAGCCCTCCGTTAACCGGCGCCTGCTTGCGCCTGCGCGCAGGACAATTACAGCCTGCTGCTGAAGGAGCTGCACGAGCGGCTGAACCCGCTGGGTCTGCTGCTGAGCGCGGCCGTCTCGGCTGGCAAGCAGACCATCGACCCGGCCTACCATCTCGCTGACCTGAACAAGTACGTGTGGCCGGCGGGCCGCGGTCGACTGTTACGAGCTGAGGTGTCCGCCGCCGCCCTCGACGCCCCGTGCACGTGTTCCTCACTCGCTGAGTCAATCATCCGTGGGCGATGACACAAGTTACACGTGGTTGGGAAGGAACGCAACGGAAGTGTGGCGGGGGAAGGAGCGTAGCGTCTCCTTAGGCAGCGTAACGTCTCTTGACTCATCCCTATATGACTTAAAGCCTGTTGAAAAGCTTGCGGGCTGATAGTTGTTTTACACATGAAAGCCTCGAATAGGTGGTTAGTCAACCGCCACTTGTTATGAAGTGATCAGAGTAAGCTTAGGAAGTCAGCCGCGAAATGGGCCGCCGATGGGAGCAGCAAGCCAGAGCAGCAAGCTAAAAGCAGCTCAGCAAAGCAGCCGAGAGCAGCTCCGCAAAGCAGCCGAGGGCAACTCAGCAAAGCGGCCGAGAACAGCTCAGCAAAGCAGTCGAGGGCAGCTTGGCAAAGTAGCCGAAAGCAGCCAAAAAGAACAGCCGAAAGCAGCTCAGCAGAACAGCCGAACACCGAAAGCAGCTCCAGAGCGCGGCGAAGGATACCGTCTGTCTCCCCATAAAGACAAAGTATTTTCGATGCGGGGCGCAGTTCCCCGACAGGCCGCTGACCTCGCTGATCCATGCCAGCATGATGACGACACATGAGCCATCTGCCGTGCATATGACGTGCACGTAAGGAGCACGCGTACAAGACAAGCGCCGCACGTCGAGGGCCGGGGCATGCGAGGCAGCCACAGCTCGTCGTGAGCGCCGACGGCCTGCAGCATCGGCTGTCAGCCGGGTATTTGAAGTCTCTGCTGTCAGCGGGGTATTTATGCGTTACGTGCGCTTCTGAACACAGTACACATGAAAAGGCCCACTTCCAGAGATGTGCCCGTTGATCGCCCTCAGGGGCTTGTTGTGTCACTCATATTTGCATTCCTCGCTTTGTGGTCATCGTCCTATGTTTCTACCAGTGGTGTAGTTTCCTATTCGTTGGAGGGAGAGGGAGGCTCCTCCAACTTGCGGGCGGGGGGGGGGGGGGGCTAACTTATGTGCAAAATCCACCCGCCCAACTTGGGGAGAGAGTTGCCAAATGCGTGGAAAACTAGTTTGTTTGCATTTTCGTGGTAGATTTTGTCATATTTTTCTGTTCAGTCCTTCCCGCAACCCATTTTGCGACACTGCGTCCCCTGTTTCTGCACGTGAAGTAGTTAGCTTGAGGAGCGGAAAGAGCTCCAGCTGGCAGTGCGGTCATGGCCGGAGCCAATGGAGGCTGACCTGGACGCCACCGACCGCCTGTGGTCGGCCGGCAGGTACCTGGACATCGTGAACGTCATGACGTACGACTACCACGGCGACTGGGACCCGTTCATCGGCCATAACTCGCCGCTCTACCTGTCGCACCTGGACGTGGAGCACGGCAACAACTTCGAGTACTTCAGCGTGGTACGCTACCGCACTACCGCCTGCAGGGCGGACGGTCAGATGGGCCGTGCACCCGGACTGTCGCACAATACCACCTGCCGGGCGGACGGTTAGATGGGCCGTGTACGCGGACTGCCGCTCAGTAACGCCTGCCGGGCGGATGGTTAGATGGGCCGTGTACGCCGGACTGCCGCACAGTAACACCTGCCGGGCGAACGGTTAGATGTACCCGGACTGCCGCACAGTACCGTTTGTGGGGCGGATGGTCAGATGGGCCGTGTACCCGGACTGCCGCACAGTACCGTTTGTGGGGCGGATGGTTAGATGGGCCGTGTACGCGGACTGCCGCTCAGTAACGCCTGCCGGGCGGACGGTTAGATGGGCCGTGTACCCGGACAGCCGCACAGAACCGTTTGTGGGGCGGATGGTTAGATGGGCCGTGCACCCGGACTGCCGCTCAGTAACGCCTGCCGGGCGGACGGTTAGATGGGCCCGGACTGCCGCACAGTACCGTTTGTGGGGCGGATGGTCAGATGGGCCGTGCGCCCGGACTGTCGCACAGTAACACCTGCCGGGCGAACGGTTAGATGGGCCGTGTACCCGGACGAGGCCTTGTAATAGTAAGAAATTCTCGCCTGTCAGCATGGCGCTGCTGTCGATTTGGTTAAACATCAGACGCCACGAAGCTGCCTTTGCCACGCCTAACTCGACCCCCCCCCCCCCCAAACGTTCCCAGAACTACTCGATGAACTACTACCTGAGGGTCATCGAGCCCTCGAAGCTGATGCTGGGCATGCCGTTCTACGGGCGCGGCTTCGTGCTGGCCAACAGCGAGCACCACACGCCGTACGACCCGTCCAATGGGCCGATGGCCGGCTGTCCTTACTCGGGCGAGCCCGGCTTCTGTGGCTACAACGAGGTGAGGTCCGCTCCCGCACGGACACGGGGGCGCGCCGGGCGGCGTGGACATACGTCCGCCGGTTCTGCCGGACGGGAGGAGCACTGGAGAAGTCGGGGAAAGAGTATTAGGTCCCTTCGAAATAAACTGTCCAGTGATTGGTAATTTCGAGGACGGACATGACGTTGCTGCGCTGCTCACATAATCTGTACTGAGAACTACACACGTGCGTTTTCAGCTTTGCGAGAAGATCTTGAAGCCGACCTGGACGTACGTGAGAGACAGCGAGCAGAAGGTGATCTACGGCTACAAAGGCAACACGTGGGTGGGCTGGGATGACCTTCAGGCGGTCAAGCTCAAGGTGAGTCGGTCGTGGCCTCTCCCGTCGGACAGAAACTGCGGCACCGATTCACATGCCGGGCTGGAAAGTGGACAAAATCCTGCGGCGTTCCGTTGCCGCCTCTTTACGACGCCGAGAGACACGACCTTCGACGCGTCAACATCAGACACTGCGGTCCGGTATGACCAGGTCTCGACTCATAAGCGCAAGTGGGGTGCCCTCCACCAGATGTCTTGTTTCATCCTAAAACGCAATCACGCCGGCACGTGAACCCCCACCAAACGCGGCTCCTGGCCGCAGTGGCATGCACGCTACAGGAGTACAGCGCGTGACCTATGAACGTCGCGGTACCCTGACCGTGTGTGCATGTGTGTGTGTGTGGCGTGCCTCAGATGGAGTTCCTCAAGAGCCTGGGATTGGGTGGAGCCATGATCTGGGCGATCGACTCGGACGACTTCCGTGGCGTATGCGGACCCAAGTACCCGCTGCTGAACCTGGTCTGGAGCGAGCTGAACGGCGCCGTGCCGTCGCCCAGCCCCCTGCCGACCACCACACCCGACCCCGTACGTACAGTGTGGTGGAGACGAGAGGGGGTCACAGCGGGGAGACAGCCCCCTGCCGACCACCACACCCGACCCCGTACGTACAGTGTGGTGGAGACGAGAGGGGGTCACAGCGGGGAGACAGTCCCCTACCGACCACCACACCTAACCCTGTACGTACAGTGTGGTGGAGACGAGAGGGGGTCACAGCGGGGAGACAGTCCCCTACCGACCACCACACCTAACCCCGTACGTACAGTGTGGTGGAGACGAGAGGGGGTCACAGCGGGGAGACAGTCCCCTACCGACCACCACACCTAACCCCGTACGTACAGTGTGGTGGAGACGAGAGGGGGTTCACAGCGGAGAGACGGCCCTCTGCCGACCAGTACGCTCGACCCCGTGAACGTGATGCGTTTGAGCAGGTCCAGAGGGAATTCATCATGCCACTGGATAACAGAGTTAAATATCACGCTCTAAACACCACCAGGTGAGGTGAGGGGGGAGGGGGAAGAGGGGAGGGTACATCATCGCTACTTAGTGGTACTAGTACCGTCTCACCTATGAAGTGGTGTACGTTTGAGAAGCCTCGCCGGCTATACCTCAGTTTCCCATTCCGTAGTGGGAAGGTTCCCCGTTTGCCACTGCAGCCGTAACTGCTCAAATAATCGACGTCGAATCGAAGTGAAGCGATGGTTGAACCCCCGGCGGATGATCGCGTGCTCGCTTACACGCACCACCGGGCAGTGGTGTGCGGAGGCTGACGCCGCGTCAGAGCTGGGGTCGTGGGAGCCCGCGCCATCGGCGTCGGAAGGCTTCGCGCTGGGTGGGGGTACCACAGCCGGGTCACCAGCCGCCGGCCGTGGCGCGTGCGCCGGTCCGGCGAGGCTGCACCATGAGCGTCCGGTCGTGCGCCGCAGACTGCGCCGACGCACCACACGCGGCCGACGAAGCCGACCCCGCCGCCGGGCCCGACGCCGGAGCCCAGCCACGTCTGCGTGAAGCCCGGCCTCAACCCCGACCCGGACAAGATGTGCTCTCCCTACTTCTACGAGTGCGTCCAGAACGGCGACAGCTGGGACTACCAGCAGGTGAGGCGGAGTTTCGGAGAGACAGTGGAGACTGCCGGTAAGTGTGGCCGGCTATCGGAGGGACAGCGGAAACTACCAGCAGGTACGGAGGACTGTCGGAGAGACAGCGGGGTCTACGGGAGATAGAGCGGATTGTCGGAAAGACAGCGGAGATTACCAGCAGAAGGGGAGGACTGTCGGAGAGAGAGCGGAGTTTACGGGAGATGGGGCGGATTGTCGGAAAGACAGCGGAGATTACCAGCAGAAGGGGAGGACTGTCGGAGAGACAGCGGAGTTTACGGGAGATAGGGTGGATTGTCAGAGACAACGGAGATTACCAGAAGGTGGGGCGGACTGTCGGAGAGACAGCGGAGTCTACGAGAGGTAGGGCGGTCTGTCGGAGGGACAGCGGAGATTACCGACAGGTAGGGCGGACCGTCGGAGAGACGGAGCAGACAGCCAGCAAGTGTGGCGGACTGTCGGAGACGCAGCTAGGACTATCGACAGGTGGGACGGGTTGTCGGAGAGACAGTAGAGATTACCAGCAGGTGGGGCGGATGGCCGAAGGCAAAGCTGGGACTACAAGCGGGTGGGGCTGACGGTCGGAGACAGAGCTGGGACTACCAGCAGGTGGGGTGGACGGTCAAAGAGAACTGAGACTACCAGCAGGTAAAGTGCATGGCCGCGATTAGGAGAAATATTCACGAGAGACGATCGGAAAATGAGCTCGCTTAATAGCTTACCTCTTCTCCACGTTCACACGCTTTGACTCTCACTTCGCTCTTATCTCACCAGAATGCATATTTCTATAGATGTTTGTGTTGACGTGTGTCCGGGTGGCAGGTTGAATACGGTGCCCTCGGGTGGGGGTGGAAGTTGGGGAGTGGGGAGTCAATCTGACCTTGCACTGATATGAAAATACAGGTAGGAACACCAAATCCGCCGTATCCGTATCAATCCATGTGAAATCCATTGTGTTAAATTTTGAGGTCAATACGTCTGGACCTTCAGGTCAAATAAGGTCGCACAAGGAAAATCTCCAGATTGGTGTCCGCAGTGCCCTTAGATCTCCTCACGCAACGAGCTTTCACCTAGATCCCTCATATAAGAAAAAACACTGGCGTTGATATATGGGCACTGCTCTTATTTGACCTTCAGGTGCTGAAAATGACCAAAAACCTGCGGGGTTAGGTTGATATGCGGAAATTCAGAGCACTGAACGGTAGTAAAACTCCGTCGCCGACCGTCATCACGCAATATTGATCCACACATGGTCGCCTTGTTTCAGTTCTCGTGCGGCGACGGTTCGGTGTTTGACCGAGTCAAGCTCGTGTGCGTGTGGCCGGACGACTCCGACGAGTGCAAGACCACACCAGCGCCATCTGCGTAGATCTTGACCGACGCCGGCGTTACCTGCCGCGCGTCGATCGTTGATCTGGCCGCAACACGCCGACCGGTGATGACGTCACGTTTTGGAGAGCGACTGTCGTCCGTCGCGGCCAATGCCTGGCTCACAACTAAAAAGGGAGCCGCGGAGCTGAACGGCACGCTGTCGCGACTGCTGTCCATCAGTGGGTCTCCCGTGAACATGTCTGAACGTCCCCGCCCATAAATCGAAGGACGACACGTGTGGCGTTGCTCTCTCGCATCAGTGCTTGGTCTGCGACGAGTGCCGGCTTCGGTGGCCCGCGAGGCTCAAACACACGTCCGGGTGACGTTGCGGCCACCCACCCTGCTTTCCCCATTCTCACTTTATCCTGCACCCTCGCGACGCCCCGCTTGTCCGTGGCGAGCTCCATGCACCAGCCATGAGTCGGCTAAAGTGCTCCCATGGTGGGCGCCGTCCAAGTGCCGAGCTGATACCCCGCAAAGGGTTCTTTAAACGGCCTGTGTCTCTCCGAATGGACCTCCAGGTGCATGCAGTTTGTGTTACCGTTATCCACTCCCCTTTATCCCGGAGCCTGAAAGTCACTGCTGGCTGAGGGGGCTCTAAATCCAAATGGAACCAAAGAAACCACAAAAACAAAAGCGCTGCGGTAAAACCCAAGTGGGGTCACTGTCGCCTGACTCTGCCCAAAGCATATCAATATATCTACAATACGTAAATACCGCAAAATTACGGGAAATAGGTGAAGCGTACACAAATTCAAGGTTGGGCGCTCGTATCACGTTGATTCCGTGCTGGCTGTAGCAAGAGCCTGTGAATGTTGTGTACATCAAATTAATGCCAAATCCCACTATTCTGAGTGCTCTCGCAAATATTTTGGGGAAAATTCCATCTATCGACACAGTGCTCACATTTGTGTTGCATAGGATATATTTATTATCACTAGAGTACAAAACAAATCAGGCATCACCTGCATTTGGCGCTTGACCTAACCGCGTTCGTAAGTACAACCCAGTACGGAAAGCACAGTGTGACCCATGTCATCACCATTACTTGGTGAGAACACCATCCCAGGTTAACACGTAAGATTATAATAAACAGTATACAAAACAAAACCGATGCACGCCGAGTAACATACACGAAACATCAGCCCCCTGAAACATACTCGGGCATCCGGCTTGGAAGTTCCGTCCACGCGGACTGGGGACATCGGCTTTCTACGAATAATACTGGCAAGTAAAACTCAACAGCGCGTGCCCAGATTCGCCTGGGGTATTCAAAGGCGGGAACCTCATGGAAAGCTCTTAGCATGACGCCACAGAGGCACCCTCGTACCACGTTACGAACACAGGCAATTTGGAGCCACCGAACGCTGCAAACGAACACGATTCCTTCTATGGCGAGGCAATGTTCAGTGCCTGCGTCCTTGCCGATCGACCAGCGCTGCTAACCCCGCCGCCGCCGTCGCCCTCCAGATTATCACCACCTCTAACGCGCGGCGCGTGTCAGTGCTCGGATACGTCCGCTCGCTCGCCCAGCCGACGCCGTACCGTCCTCGGCCGACACCCTGTGCGCCGGCCGCGCGGCCGCAGCGGCGCCCGCCCGCGTCCGCACCGCGGCGGCTGCCCACGTGCTCCGGGGGCCGCTCGGCGCCGGTCGGCCAGGCCAGCCCGGTCGCAGCACCCCTCAGTCACCGCACGCCCGCCGCGCACGACCTCACCTCGCCAAACCGGCCGACGTCTCGCGGCTTGGCCAGAGGGAGAGGGAGAGAGGTCACGTCGGCTGGCGGCCGTCCTCCGCCGTCTCCTCCTGCTGCTCCCGCGGCGGGCCCGGGCCCAGCAGCGGTCGCATGTGCACCTGCCAAGTCGATCGGTGACGTCACAGGTCAGGTCACGTCGCGTCTCATTTGGGTCAGCCCGGACGACACAAGCCTTACAGGTCGGGAAGGCACGGACTGGGGCGAGAGAACAGGCGAACATGCCCTTTGAAGCATGTGCAAGACAAATCACGATGCCACCTTTCTGTACATTACATTACACTAACAAATGCACGCTCCAAGCCAGCACAATTTGCATAAATAAAAAAGCCAATTTTCCGCAAACCTCGACAGTTTCACGTTGCCTCTCACTTGTATGAACACGCCGGTCTCGTCCGGCCGGGTCAGGAAGGGGAAGTTGCCGCCTGTCTTGAGGTGCGCCAAGCGCGCGTGCGGGTAGCACTGCTCCGCCTCGGCGCGTGCCTGCTCCGTCAGCGCCGTGGCGTCGAGCGCCTGCAGCAGGGTGACGGGCAGGTGGCGCAGACGCTCGGCCTGCACCCGGCAGCCGGCGCTGCTCAGGGTCAGCCGCGACGCCAGCTCAGCCTGGCTGAGCTGCGACAGCTGCGCGGCAGAGGACCGCCGGGTCAGGGCCAGCACAGCGGTACAGCGTCAGGGGCAGCACAGGGGTACAGCGTCAGGGCCAGCACAGAGGTACAGCGTCAGGGCCAGCACACAGGGGTACAGCGTCAGGGGCAGCGCAGGGACATAACGTCGAGGGCGGCAGACACAGCGTCGAGGACGGCAGACACAGCGTCGAGAACGGCGGCGGGGCGGCAGCCAGCGTTGGGGACGGCAGGGGGACACAACGTCAGGGGCAGCAGAAGGAAAATAAGTCAGGGACAGCGGGAGGACGGCGGGGATAAAAAGTCAGGGACAACAGGAAGACGACGGGGACAAGGAGTTAGGGGCTGCGGGAGGACGGCAGAGACAAGGAGTCATGGACAACGGGAGGACGGCAGGGACAAGGAGTCAGGGACAACGGGAGGACGGCAGAGACAAGGAGCGTGGGACAGCGGGAGGACGGCAGGGACAAGGAGTCAGGGGCGGCGAAAGGACAGCAGACGTCAGAGGCAGGGGGGGGGGGCAGCGATCCACGTGGTGCCACATAATTCGTGCCATCACATTCGGTAGCAAATGCTGGCGACGCACCACACGCAGCTACAGTGGCACGCGGACACGTGCTGCTCGATCAGCGCCAGGCCCTAGCGCCCATCTCCTTGCCTGATCCACCATGAAGTCGAAGGAGTCGGCGATGTCGGGACGCAGACATTCGTGGCTGGGAAACCCCTGCAGCACCATGTTCTTCAGCACCAGGCCGGGCACCAGCCAGTAGCTGTGGGACACCATCCGCCGTCAGAGCACCCACGTCTCGACAACTGCTCCCACACACAGACTGCCGCCGCTCACAAGCGCAGGCTGCCCACGCGCCAGCCGTCCTCAGAACACTCCAGGAGGGAGGCTTTGACGGTGGAGAGACGCGCGCTACGGTGCCCGATGGCGGACGGTCTTCAGGACTTGCCTCACCTGGAGAACGCTTCCGCTGAGCACGCGCATAGTGAAATCGAGCCTCATGACCATTGGAAGCTTTATGGCACTGGTCCATTCTGTCTCAGTGTCATGTGATATGTTACGCAGCGTGTACTCGCCCGCAACGACGACGGCGTTCTCTCGGCATACGTGTCTCGAGACCAGAGAGCGTCAACTGTTTATTATACTGTTAACTTATCATACTGACAGTTTGACAGTTATACAACTGTTTATTCTTTTAAAGATGGCTTGCTGCGATACCAAGTACGAGGTTGTCGAAGCTACGTCAGGTTGGATTGCATCAAGGCTAACATTCGGCAGTTTTATTATTGCTGACCTTTATCACTAAGCCAGATACTCTGATATCAAACCGCCTGTGTGCGGCCCTCTTACTGGCGGTTCGGGATAAACAGATTATCAATCTTTCACATAGATTATTACTCTTTTGAACAGATTATTAATCTTTTTAATGTCACAGGTCATGTACGCACTCAGCTTATCAAAGCATTCCGAGTCAAAGCAGGAACCACAAGATCGGGCAGGAATCAAACATGATTGTCAATGACTCTGCTTCATGTGATGGGGAAAGAGTGGACCCAGGACTCAGACCGACCACACCAGAACGCGAACTCAGACCCAAAGCCATGCTCGCTCACAATCACGACCCGAACGACCCCGCGCTCCAACCACAAGACCAGGCCCCTACAGCGCGAGCTATCTCCGAGCCCCCGTGCTCAACTCCCGTGACGAGGGCACTCACAAAGGCGAGACGGCCGTCTTCTTGTAGATGCGCGTGTCGACGAACGCCTGGCAGAGCAGCAGCGAAGCAACTCGGGGACAGCGGCGCGTCGCTTCGGCGAACTTCTGTGCCAAGAACGCGCCCAGAAATGAGCCGAACAGGTGCACCCGGTCCAGGCCGAGCTCGTCCAGAAGTCGCCGGAAACCCTCACAGAACTCGTGCACTGTCCAATACACCGGGTACGACACCTGGTGAGAGGGAGGGATTCATTAGTCAGCACGTGGTCAATTCCGGTCCAACGAGAAGTCGGCGGCACGGTTAAACACAGCGCACAGTCAATTCCATTAACATGAGTAGGCCGGCATGACGCGTTCGCCAACCCTTCCGATGAGGCATTTAGGATGCAGTGGGTCAGGCCGGACAAAACAAACTTTTCAACACAGAGGTGCTACTTGACAAGGCAAAAACTGGATACCAATGCTACCAGACAGGATAGGTGACAGACTTTGAATACAAGCAATGATACAAATCACACTTGCCTTGACTTCAGTGAGAAACATGAGAATGATACCCAGACAAACATGACGGTACAGAGTACACCCAGTCCATGTGGCTAGCAAAAGCACATGATTGAACCTGAATGACAGCAGTCGGGATCAGCTAATTGGACCTCTCTTTGTTCTCCGTGCGGCGGCACGGTTCTCCGTGCACCGGCCGTCTTCTCCAGCGGCCGGCTGGAGAAGACGGCCGGTGGGCAGCGGCGGCGGCGACTCACGGAGAGCACGCGGAAGCCGCGGCTGGATAGGCTCAGCAGCTGGCGGAAGTAGACGTCAGCTGTGCCACTCAGCGGTGGCAGGAAGACGATGGGGCAGGCGTCAGAGCGCGGACCCACGTCATACAGCCTCCACACCTGATGGGCAGATGCCACACACTCATATAGTCAGATGATGGCAGGAAGATGATGGGGCAGGTGTCAGAACATGGTCCCACATCATACAGCCTTCATATCTAATGGCAAAACACATCACACAGACACAGAAAGTAAGATGTCTGCAGTAACTGACTGAGTGGTTTATCATTTTTGATTGGCCTAATGAAAGTAAAGACTAATAATACTGAACTTCACAAAATGACACAATGGATTGCTTAATCAAATGTTAATTGCAAAACATTTCCCGGTACTGCCTGCAAAAAAATATCCAATGCAATGACAGTCGCATACATAGTGGAGTCAAAACAATCATAGTTGTGCAACTGACACTGCAGCATACCTTGCTATCATCATAATCCACAACAACACTTTTAAGTGGCACTGAGCTTCTGAAGGCCAGGTACTCTTCACTTTTGGATATATTGCTTTGCATGGTTATTTTCAGAGAAACGTGAATCCACCATATGACACACCAATCAAGTCAATTACTATGTTCTAGGAGCTGGCTTTTACTGCCACCTAGACCACACACATCCTGAAAGGAAAAGACAAACTGTTAACAACTTGAATACTTTATGTAAATTATACCTGAATACCACAGATAAACATCATATATTACTGATATAGATATCTTGACAAAGTTTTAACACCCCTACACAGCTGTCATCTCAAAATAAAGCAGGGTAAAAAATGAATAACAAAATTGCGACTATGGCTGAAATTACACACCAAAATAGCCTTTAAGCCACGCCAGTTATAACAAATTTTCCATGAGCTTTGATGATAATTCAGGCTTCATAGCCCACAGACTACACTGGACAAATAATCTGTGATTCTTGATGAACAGATTGAGAACTGTGCACCATGCTCACTTTATTTATCACAGAGTGATTCAAGAGACATTCTTGCATGAAGACCACAGCAATGCCAGAAATTTGAATTTCAACTGTAATGTAAGGTACGATCACTCTGGTTCATAGTGATGTTAGTTCTATCCTTTGTCACATTCATCTGAGGAGGCTATCCATTCAGGCAGTCACCAGAGGCTCTTTCTAACCAATTGTAGTTTTTAAAACATAATTTTGCATGCTAGTAGAACCACGCAACATTCAATTTTTTCCAGGTTTAAATAGTTAAGAGGAATTATCCATACTGAACATGGACCAGACTGGAAAATGCCATGGGATGGAAATTGAATAGAAATTTTAAAAACTGTGCACCAAACATGTCAGCAAAGCTGCAACATTGCAAGAGAACATGAGTGCATGTACATGACAAACCAGACTGTGAAAAGTTTCACACATAGCCATTACTAATTTCAACACATACAGAGGCAATGTTTGAGCAAATTATGATGCAAAAATAATTTTGGGCAAAGTTTTAGAAAAAAAATTCATCCTCTCAAAAAGATAGGCCTACATGCAATTACATCCCTTTATGCTTAGTGCCTTGTTGTCATTACAGTTCAGCACTGTTATCACAGCCAATTTTATGTGAAAATAAATTGAAAATAATACAAAACAGCAGAAACACAACTCAATGCTGTCCCCTCTGAAGCTGCAGAAAAGTGAGCTCCTTGCATCTTAATGATTTACGCGTCACAGACACCTTTGAGGGCAACATGTAGAATATCCCTGTGCACGCATTGCATGCTATAGTCCAGTTCACCTAACACCATCACGGATCGATACCGCCCCCGCAGGCCTGGAAGGTCGGGTACCATAACGGCGCTCCACCGCCCTGTGTGCACCATTGCCCTGACCAAGGGAAGTCTTTAGCGCCGTCCACCGCCAGGCGGCGGGCGGCCGCCGACCGTTCGCCCGGCAATGCGGCGGCAGGGTGCACCCGAGCAGGCGTGGAAGCGGCTGGCGGCTGGCTGGTAGATAACTACCAAGTCTAACAACGGATCTCCCAGAAGATTGGACCAACCAAACTTTCACAAACGTAGCACGTGTGCACGTGTGTGAAAATGGCAGAGCTGTAGCGACCGTCTCATCGCTTTCGGGTCCATTCTCACCAATGAGGCGGCGCCACTTAGGCTGGGTTGCTCCAAGTCCAGTAAAGGACCTTCCTGCACATGGGACGCCAGAACGGCCAAAACGGCACAAGCATGATACGTGCGCACGCAAGGGACACATAGAGACATGTGTCGACCATTCTATCGCATTGGGGATTGAAGATGCCGTTGTACAAGCTGCCTCGGTGGCTGGCGGTAGCAAGACCGACCAAAACCGTACAAACGTGGTACGTGTGACAGACGGAGACATGTGCTGACCACTCTGTTATTTCGGTGATACAACATGTCATTGTCAAAGCCATCCAACATAAAACGGTCTGGATACGCTCGGACAACCGTCCATAATCAGTAAACGAGACTTTTCCGGCGATCATATCGAATGATCTTACTACGATGTTTCATCTGAACTATACCCAGTTGCACACTTGTTACAAAGCCACAATACCACGTGGGCCTGAAATGGTAAGACATCTTTTCCGCAATGGTCGCATTACGTGATGAAAATATTAATCCTTGACGTAGGGAAAGCCAATTCAAATGGCTGAATTGCGGGAATAGTCAGATGTTGGCGTGGGCCATGTCAACCTCCAGGCTGTTCTCCCGCAATTATGATGTTGATAAGTCCCGCCCCTGTGGCTAGCTAGCTAGGCTCGTGGCCACAGGCTAAGCTAGCTAGGCTGATGGCTTGCCAGCGAGCCCGAGTGTCAGCTGGCGGTGACTGGCCGAACGTGCCGTCTGGGTGAGCGATGCGCCGGCGTCGGTGCGTCGGGGACCGAAAAGGCCTCCCCACACACGTACCCGTGGTAGGTCACAAACGCTTTGATCAGGCACTGTCAGATCGTAGCCGAAACGGTGCTGATGATTCACAGTTCCTGCGGCGCAGGAACATACGTGGAGCTTCTCTGTCAATTTTACACACATGAAATGCTGGCATACAACCAACGTTTCACCATAGCAGGACTTAAATCAACCATTCGTTCGCTGCGTACTGTTGCCGAGAGTCATGGCCTAATACACAATGATATGATGCGCCGCGTTCCCAGCTGTCCCTGCGAGCACTACTGTCAGTATCTAATCGTTTGTAGGAGTGAGGCAGCTTTCCTCCATTATGGCGGGAGGCGACAGTTGTGCCAGTACTTTAACCTGGAAAAAGTGGAGCTGACCCTTTCGACTATCGACCAGCTACCCCCACACCATGCCTGTGCGAGGTCATGAAGAGGATGGTTAATGAGCGTCCTCCCTGGATTTTGGAGAGTCAAAGTTTTTTTCTAACGAGCAGTGTGGTTTTCGTAAAAAAGCAGAACCACGGCCGACCACATTATAACTGGGCATCGTGTGCGGGCTGAGTTCACGCGAAACCGTCACACGGGGCTTCATTGACATAGCGAAAGTATATGACACGAGGTGGAAGCATGATACTTTGACGAAGTTAGTCGACTGTGGTGTTTGAGACGTCGTAGGCATTTTCTTATAAAACTTCTGAACTGACCGATTTTTGAGGTTGGTGTGAACTCTCATTTTTCAAACAGATATCCACAGGAAAACTGTGTGCCCAAGGCACTGCATTAAGTGTAGCGGTGGACCATGTCCCGGATCAGTTTGTCAGCATGTAAGGCGAATGGGGCAATAACTCATGTCAGGGTGAGGAGAACAATCACGGCTCGAGGCGGTGCGTCACGGTGGCGCCGGCCAGTCGCAGGCAGATCGTGTTGCGGGTATGAGCCTTGGAAAGAGTATAAGAGGTGCTGCTCGGGCGCGTGGAGTGGGTCTCTCTCTGTCGGCGTCAAGTGCGGCAGTTCGCCGGTGTGTGTGGGGCGGTCCAACCAAGATGTGACCACCGAATAGAAGCTATTTCGGCCAGAATGCCTGAGACCCCGGCAGCGGCTGCAGGCGGTGTGACGACGTCCATCACGGCTGGTGGCGCGACGACACCAGCGTCAGCCAGCGGGAGCGCCAGCGCCAGCGGGAGCAGGGCCGTCACGCAGGATGGAGGCGGGCCGTTTGACGTCCGGCTCATCCCGGCGTACGATGGATCGTCGCGCTGGACCTAGCGAGCGTTCTCGCACGGGCACGGGCCGTGCTCAGCGATGAACGCGTCGCTGTGGCAGCGGCCGTGGCGCGTGCAGGGGCGCCTCGTCACCTGTTCTCCATGTCTGAATCTACGATGGCACCTCTGACTCGATCAAACGCCACTGAACACGATTCAGAATGCTACACTCCTTTCCGCTGCAGAAGCTTTCCACCGACATAAAGTCATCTAATGAAGGCGCATGAGCCCCACTAGCAATGCACCGGCAAATCCTGGGTCTGCGCTATGTGTGCAGGCTGTCGCAGCTCCCTGGCCATCCCAACTAGCAAGCAGTTTTTTGCGTGGCATGTTAAAGCTTGTTTAACAGCGTCGTTCACGAAAAACTTCACCGTTCTGCGTACGCATTTGAGATCTTCTAGACGAGAGTGGTTTGGTCTTTAGGCGTGTTGTTAGGTCTAGCCTTATGCAGACCCCTCTTTGGGAGCTCACTTCATCGAGAGTTGATATATCACTAATAAACATGCGGAAGTGTAGGGACATCGCGACTGAATTCAAAAGTATAGCCTTGGAACATATAGCTTACTCTGACGGATGTGTGATAATTTACACAGATGGCCCCAAAATGGATGCAAGTGTAGGCTGCGCTTTTGTCTGGGCCGTAACACGCTCATTCACGTTGCCTACCCATTCATCCGTCTGCACATCCGAGCTCACTGCTATGATCAAAGCCCTCAGTTTTTAAAAAGTGGACACTGTCGTACCCTCCAGGGACAGCAGTGGAGTAGAGGAGCATTAAAAGAGAGTTGATGAGGGCGACTGTGCCGTTACATCTAGGCACACACGCAACATAACCTCACTCACCGTTCGCTAGCCAATAGGAGAGCTTCACCGGGCCCTGGCACCCTTGGCGCGGTCAGTCGACCAGCGCCTCAGGAAGCGGAAGCACAGCGCACAGCGCCAGGCGGCGGCCCGGCGGCTGCCCGCACGTCCCGGCAGGCCAGCCGGGCAGGAACACATCAGATAGCAATGATTTACGTCTGATACCTTTCGACCCATTGAGCAGCCTTCTATCCCTCTGTGGTCCGCGCTTGGCCCACCCTCTTGTTCAAGATATTCTCTCGTGCCTTACCTTACTGGATCGAGCTGGAACAAAGGTGTGCTGTGTGTGTGGGTGGGTGTCTTGTGCTGGATCTTTATCGTGTGGGGATCTCTGGAAATGGATCTCGCCGATGCAGCGCCAAGCGTGCTACGGAAAGAAGGTGCGTACCCGTTACAGCGTTACCTGCAAACGGCATGTACCCAGCCTTTTCGTGATTTATGCAGGAGCGATAGCACAACCACTGGGAATCGATCAGCAGCAAGCTAAAGGTCATTAGGTCTCGGATCGGACTGTGACAGTCGTGTTTCGGTAAAGACAGGAGAGAGGAAGTGGCTCTTTGGCACCTACGTATATGACATACTTATGCCACACATCGCCACCTGCCACTTGCTGATGTGCCCCCCCCCCCCCCTCCCGTGTCCCGATGCTGTGGTCCACTAACTGTGCACCGCGTGTTGCTCGCCTGTCGTGACCTAGGTGGAACGCAAGTGCCGTTCTTTGGCCGGAACGCCTCGTATCTTACACTGCCCGACATTTTGGGTAACGACTCTCAGGCTGTCGGAACTGGAAAGCTTCTTCAGCTTTTTTTTCTGAGGTAGGCTTTACTGTAATGTTTTCTCTACGGCAGCCGATTCTCAGTCACTTACGTCAACGGTGTTTGTGTTTTAAAAAAACATGTTTGAATTGCGACCGTGCCTCGTAATGAGATAGTTATGAGCGCAAGATGACCATTTGCCGGCGATGCGCCCTAAAACTCCAACTCGTCATCATCATCGTCTGGGCTGGTTATATGTGTCCCAGCTGGACATACACATGTGAGTCCCAGCTGAACATGTCCACGTGGATTCCAACTGGCCCATGTGGGCCATAGTTAGTCTCCACGTAGACCTCAGCTGGGCCACCCATGTGGGACCCAGTTGGCTATGCCTACGTGGGTCCCAACTGGGGAGCCCAGGCAGGCCCCAGGTGGGCTGCCCATGTGAAGCCCAGTTGGTTGCCCATGACATGCCCACATGGGACCTAAGTGAGCAACCCTGATGGGCCCCATATGACTGTTTATCTCGGACCATCATGGATTCCAGTTGGAAATGCTGGCTGAGAAAACGGGAACCAGAAGCTACCGCGCGATCAGTTCTGTTTGTATTTTAAAGTTGGTAAACTGCAGAAATCAGGCGTTAAACGACTGCATGGAATAATCACCGGTGCTGTTCATTATTGAAATAGCCCAGTGGACCCCCTTTCTAAGCCGATGAAATTCAGAAGCGTTGTCAGATTTCTTATCTGGGTTCTACCGATTTCGCGAAGATAAATTGTAGATTAAAATAGGTCAACAATGTGTATCAGCTTGGTCAAGTCATGTTTGTATGGAAACGTTCAACATTCAGTCAGAGTCGATCGATGATATGAACCATATAACGTAGTTTTGAAGAAGCGCGTTCGCAAATCTTTGCAACAAAAACCTCGACACCAGGAGTTACAGTCTCCATAACCACGCAGCGTCGCCTCAGGCGCTTACATTGAGCCGTGGCCAACAGGTGGACGAAAATGATGACGCTTCTAAAAGAAGTACCTTTGAACGCTTTGGGATATTGAATCGCGCATTTAAAAGG